TGTCATTTTCGTCCAAGTTGCACTTTAAGGATCATCASCTAAAACGAACCAGACGAATCCACTTGCTCAAACAGAAGAAGAAGAGGGCACCTTTCTTAGTATGTATGCAGAAAACTGTTGTCTTCCTGATTAGGTTTTCTTTTTTATGTATTGGTTTTATTAAGCTATTGTTTCGTTTCTGCTCAAAGGTAGACAATAATGCTGTAACGATATCAATAAATAATTATCAATAATTGAAGGCACAAGTAGTCCAGAAAAGTGTGAAAATTGTTGAAGACTGTGATTTGATCAGAAAACTGTGATTTGATTTTGTTAAATCAAAAAAAGCATTTGTGCAACTTTTTGAAGACTGTAACAGAATCCAGCTTAAAACCAACCTACGGCAATGAACATATCTTAGAAAGTATGGTATGGAAAGAATTAATTGTTTGTATTTTTTAAAATATGTCTGCATATAGGTTTACAAGCACAATCAATAAGACCAGGAACTTCAGGATTTACACAAACTGCAACTAGAGCAGTAAGCGAACATAAGCAGCTTTTTGCAAGTTATGCAAGTAACAGACCCAGGAACACATTTGTTACTTATAGCAGGAAAGGAAAAAGGCCCGCAAAAGTGCCAAGATTGGTTACTTGTACACTGAAGTTTTTTGCCTAGCAAAGTCTACTGCAGAAAAACYTCCAAGCTCTATAAAGGATAGAGCATTACTTAGTAATGCCGGTCTTGGGGAAAAAAGCATCCAAATGGATGCAACGGAAACCCAAGCAAAGTTCCATCAAGAAATAACCCATCACTTCCCACAGCTTGGTGAAACTGGCTATGAAGTGTTATTGTTTCAAAGGGGTGAAGACAGTGGCTTTGTAAGGATTGATCCTCCATATGTTCCAAAAAGAATTAAAGACATTGCAGGCAATGCAAAGATTTATTTGAGACCAATGCAAAGGGATTTAAAACTTGACTGCACAGAAAATGAAGTGAGTATTTTTKATTAAGACAGGCATAGATTGGCTTTGTATGTACATAGTTCAAGCTGCTGACTAAAACAATATAAAACTACTAAATAAATTAGCACACCATGCTCATGAAATTTATTAGATAAAGGACACAAAAATGTATCTCTATCATTGTAGTAATTGACCTGCACAAGGCTCTGTATGAAGTGCTTAAAAGATAATTGCAGATTAAAAATTAATCACATAAAATGTTTTTCTTAAAAATGTTTTTGAATATGTGCTTCACAGAAGGGTTTTTCTCTTGTTCTTTTAGGGTTCCTCAGATGATTATTGTCCAATAATAAAATGTCTTACTTGTGGGGAGCAAGTACAAATGACAGATATGGCTGCTCACATTGAGAGCACCCATATGAGTCAAAAGGGAGAATCTGTGTCAATGCCCAAAAAGGTATACATAGTTTTTGACATGGCTGTTATTAAATGAAAATGTGTTGACTGTTTCCCTCAAAGCATCTTTTTAAAGCCATAATTTATTGATGAAACAATTTTTATTATCCAAATAGGAACAGTCTGTACTGAGTGACCATGCATTTGTTTGCGAAAGGTAAAAATATCATTCATTCCCTTATGATGTCCTTAAATATACGAAACATAGCTACAGCATAGATTTTTAAGTGTTTTAATTGTGTTTGATTACATGCATTTTTATACATTTTGAAATATTTTCAGGGGAGTGCGAGGCTAATTATTATTATTCAATGTTTTCCTGATACAGACCTAATAAATAAAACATTAGTTCTGTATCATTGTTCCTTGGAGTTTTTCGTAAGTCAAATGCCTTTTCTACAGCTATTACTTTTTTGCTAATGTGTGTGTTCAATAAGCAATGTTTGAGTTTGATATGSTTGATGCATTCATCTTTATTTAGTACTGACAGTGATGATGAGAGTGAAGACACATCATGTGGGAATGTGGTTGTCAGTAAAGATTACAAGGTATTTTTTGAGTAAAGTGAGGAAAAAGTGGAAATCATATAATTATTTTGTCTATGTATGTCATGCATTGTTTATATAAKTTTATGAAAATTGCTGTAATGTTTAGTACATCATGTCAGGCATAAATATTTTACCATTTAAATTGCAAGATTATGTGAAGAAAGTGATTTTTAATTTTAAAGTTTAATTGTATTGTTTTATTATATTTAACCAATGAAAATGTCTCAACTGTTGATGAGTTTTCACTTTTTGAGTTTCTAAATGGACACATTGAATTATTAACTAGATAATATTTACACTGTATGTTTAGCAGACTGATCGAGGTGGCCTTTAATACAGACATTATTCATGGCCTTAGTTAATTAACATAAAATTTTCTAATTATCAGTATTGTCAGCCCTGTTCCCTRAGGTACCACAACACACCATTTGCTCAGTCCTGGATGTTACAAAAGATGTCAGTGATGGAGTGAACATACTACTTGACAGAGAAGAACTCAATAACACCACAAGTTCTGGCTCATCACACTCATTTTTGGAAATGAACACAATTGACAAGGGTAAGTGACTAAATTAGAAAAACAACTCATCTGTCAAGAAATTTAAATATATTACAGTACTGTGCTGTATTTACTTTGAAATAAATGAAATAAAACGGATGTTCAATAAAACTTTAGTCTCTTATCTGATGTCATTCTTCCCTATTTTGTAAATGACTTGATAAATATCAACTTGTCTATCATAAAAAGGTTCAAGTAACATGCACAAGCATACCTGTAGTATTTGTAATTACATGTACAAATTATATTAAGTAATATAATGATCAGTCATGTTAATTTCTCTTTAGGATTACCCTTGACATTGAAGAGTCTTATGGCTTCACATAGAACACAGCTTCGTGAGGATAACAAGAACAGAGTTACAATTGATAGAGAAGATATATGGTCTGAGAGTGTTGTTTTGTTTAAAAGTCCCAGGTTTAAGCCATGTTACCCTTTACGTGTACGATTCGCTGGTGAAGCTGGTCTTGATGCAGGGGGGCTCTCTCGAGAATTTGCCAGGCTGTTGCAACATGCACTGTTTTCTTCAGAGGCAAACCTCTTTGAGGGTCAACCAGATAGAAGGCTTCCGCTCTACAATGGGGATGCTCTTCATTCAAACCTATTTCTATTGTCTGGAAAAATATGTTCATATCTAATATCTCATTATGATGTGGGAATCCCATGTCTTGCACCTTGTGCTTATACATATTTAAGTACAGGRGAAATTGAAAAGGCATCACAAAAGTGCTCTTTGGAAGATATCCCAGATCTTGATTTGCAAGAAATGATAAAAGAGGTTTGTGATTTTGTGACATTATTTTTTTAATATATTTGAAATATTTCTTTGTATTTAACATATAATGGTTTTCATTCAGTGGTGTAATGAGAACCTGGAATCAGTTAATTTTGTGTGCATGTGTGTATATTGAGGGGGGACATGCACACATGGCATGCTAAAAGTATAAAGATACAAACTTGCAGCACTCTTTCATAAAATATTGGTCCTAAAAAGTGCCAAGATTAACTGTATGTGATTAGAATTGTTTTCAAAGTTTTGAAATATCCATTGTCTAATGTGCTCCACTTGTCATCTAAGGTCAATGATGCAACTACAACAGAGCAGCTGGAAAGAGCATCATCCTCCAACTTCATGAATAACTTGATGTCAGCTGGATGGGTAAAAATGCTAACACTTGAGAACAAAGGTCTTGCCACATGGCAACTGATCATTCATGAATGTATGTTAAAACGGAAAGCTCCACTTGATCAATTCATGAAAGGTTTGAATTTGCTTAACCTATTGCTCAGTCAMTAGGAAAACAGTAACTGATGTTATTAGTTTGAGCATTTTACTGTGTAATGTATCATTTGAAGATGATTATACAYCGTGTTTGTGGTGGATGATCATTAAAATTGTTTTTCTGACAAACACAATTTTAATGAGAACTTTCATTTCTTTTTTATAGACCAAGGTGAAGAGGGACTTAAAAATTTCCTCAAGTTTATGACAGGCCTAGACAAAGTGCCTCCTCTTGGATTTTCAAGCCAAGTCATCCTTGAGTTCAAAAACGATAGAGCAACACTCATTTGCTGAAACCTGTTTGCTTTCCCTGGTATTGCCCACCGTGCACAAGGAATATCATAGCTTCAAAGCACAGTTTATGATGGCATGTGAAATTGGAAATGCTGGTTTTGGCAGCGTGTAGCTGTGACTAACCTATGTATTTCAGTCATCCACCATAATAATCATCATCTTAAACATAGGTCATAGTTATACAGAATTCCAAGAGTGGACTTGTTCATGATAGTTTTGAGCATTCTGTTCTGGTAAATACATTATAATGCTCTWGTTTGTGTGAACAAAGTTATAGTTATTTATTTTTGTAATATATTGCTTCTTGTTCTTATTTCTCCCTGGTGGAAACTTGAAAATTTATAGATATTTTTAAGRCAGTTTACAAAAAAAAAATTTGTTGTGTGACATCAGCTGTGAGTATTGTGGCAAATTCATTGCATGTGCAAACAGCCTGCACATTTTACTGTTGTTTTGTAGACAACTTTCAATTGAAAATCAAATTGAATTGCMCTGAAATTTGAGCATGTTCAAATTTACATCAGTAAACCTGAAAGCTGTCACCATAAAATTGCAGTGAATCTGCAGGATGTTCACAGGCAGAAGTTGGGTTTGAGATAAAATTACCGCAAAAAAAAATTGTAGCTTTTACAAAAGAAATTCACTAGTGTTAACAAGGCTTTTAGAGTATTGGACATTTTGTTTTGGAAGATAGAGCAGAGTCACATGAACCATGAAATAAGAACTAAAAAGTACTAACTAATAGGGACTATTAGTTCCTAATAGTCGTTAGCACTGAACCAGAACAGTTGATTTGATCCAATAAGCAATACCCAAGAGACCACTTTAACAATCAAAGTAATCTCTTTGTACTGTTCTGGTTCAGTGATAGTGTCTAAATAGTGCCTATTAGTTACTAAATATTTAGTTTCTATTTCATGGTTCAAGTGACTCTGCTCTACATTTTATACTTGTTAGTACAAACAAAGTTATAGTTGTATTTAGGAACTATTATTGTTTCTCAACAATAATTCTTCCTAGAAGGAAAGTTGAAATTTTCTAGTAATTATGCTACCAGAACTTTATTGCAGCCATCTTTTTTACAACTTTTAACAACTTGACAACTATTTGGCAATGCTTATATTAGATATTAAGTATATTTTAAATGCTAGTGTTGTTTCATGAAATTGATTACTGCTATGTGTAATGGTAATCAGAAATTGCTGGCTTGTGATCAGAGTTTTCAATTAAAGCRTAACACATTTAAATTGTACAGAGTTTTAAATTATTGACTATGACTTGGATCAATGGACTATGACTTGGACAAACTGTTCAAGGGCATCATCAAKGRAGAAACTTGACAAATTCATGCTGTGTAATGCTTGCAATTCTTGCTCATTAAGTGGACATCTAGTTATTGGAACCTCAACATCTGTATCAGAAGATGATGGAACTGGTCCTTCCCAGTCGATACCGTAGGTTTGGAAGTCCTCCTAATGAATTGGAAATTAGATACATTGAAATATTTTCTGTACAAGCTATAAACCACATTCCCTGATGAATATATGAAGAACCATAGTATATATTACTACAAGAAGACTGAATTTTTATTATTGAATTATACACTGCAGTATACAGCCAAGATTTTCCACCTAAAAAGACATTTTACTGTCACATGTATTGATGTACATATGCAGTGACAGTATATTCATCTTCTGAATTTGAAATATTCTGTATTGTCCATTTAGAATTTTAATAATGCTGTATCATTTATCAACTGCAGCACAATTTACATTCTAGACCATTCTACATGAAAAAAAAAATGCTATTTTTAATAAGTCACATGGCAATAGCCGACTTGGGAATTTTGCCACAGTAGTCACACACAAAGAAATGAAGACAAGACGCCGTGCATAAAGCTCATTCATTTGTGAAAAGACAATAGTTTTATGAGCTTTATGCATGGCGCCTTGTCTTGACTCTTTTGTGTTTGACTACTGAGAAGAAATTTGCAAATCGGCTATTGGAACCTTTGAAATTTATTTTAAGGTGGACAACCTTTCCAATACTTCTCTGCTAATCAAAGAATTGCTTCTGTGCACACTACTGAGCCCTCTTATCCATAATTGCATTGGTGAGAAGTKTTTCTCAGTTCTAATGGGATGGTGAACCCAAGTATCTTTCCAGCTTGCCAAATGCCTATTAATCAGAGGCAGAAAARCAAAATGCAAGCACCATAGGTGAATGTCATTGTTTGGATCTAGTATACCACATTGTTCCATTCGATAGAACGTGTCATAAAACAAACTGATGCATCCCTCAAAGACATCCCTCCAGAGCCTTTCAATTCTCTGATTATGGGTACTTTTGCCTAAAAGAAAGCAGTTAACAGTTTGTTGCTGTGATCTTAATACAAGTGCAAAATATCACAAGTAAATGTTTAGTGGTATTCTTGTCAAGTAGTGGAGTGTTTTAAGACCATTATTCAATTTGTATTTGTACAAATTGTATTTTAATAGCATCTTTGAAGACTTAAATATATACCTGTAATCATKCTTCCTCTTCCAGGACATCTTTGTGGATGCGAAAGCATAAACCATGCCACATCAACATTCTCTCCCCCCTTGTCAGACCTCACACGGGAGGGCAAGCCAAATTCATTGACTGGAGACACAAACAAATTTAAAACAGTGGATGCTTCATTATTATCTGAGGCATGGATATATACTGGGATCCTTGAGAACCCGTCAATTCCTGCATGGACAACTATTCTCCACCTAAAAATAAAATTCAATTGACATTAACAGTGATACGCAATCTATTTTTAGAAATAATGCGCAGYTCTATTATTATTATTTGTATTTTTAAAAGAAGTGCATGTAGTTTAAGACACTGAGAGTTCCTTAGAGTTATGAAATAAATCACCTTATCAGTTTATGATGTCCATCAATGTGCCACAAAGACAATGGTGAATGGACATTGTACTTCCTACGTTGTACGGYTTCTTTGAACCTTATCACCATTCCTAGAGGATCTGTACGCAGAAGTGACTGCCGTATCCTTTCTCTTTGGACACGGTGTCCTTTGCTTAGCAAAAAACCTTTAACAAGTCTTATACCAATGTTTGGGTGGCTTTGCTGGGCAGATCTGATTAAATCATCCAAGTCATGGTCAATGATGGTACTGTAAGTTCCTAAGGGATGAACGTCAAAAATCCCCCTCAGATAGAAATGTCATACTTTAGGTTTTCTAATGAATTGGACTATAATGCACTTGTCATACTTAGCCCCAGGTGGGGGACCCCGGGCATACCTCGGGGATTTGACATTTTCTGGAAAAGAAAAATCAAATTCCCCACCCCTGGGCAAAAAGTTGTGGTCGAATGTATCATAACTTTTCCCTTCTAGCCATATAAATTGTACTCTTGGAGTGTTTTCTTTTTCAACCAAAATCCCCACACAAGGGACGGAACTTACTGTCAAATATCCCTGGGGCTAAACGGCTAAACATTGCAGACAAGTGCATAAGGTTTAGTGAGTCAAATGTGAAATAGCATTTTGAATGGTTTGATTTCCTTGAAATTTATTTATTATAATTATTATGCACAAAACGTGACTWAAGACACTAAAATATATCCTTACCTGCAACTGTAAGATTATATTCCGACATTCGTCTTTCAACAGTTCGACATCCAACACCCAACATCTGAAAGATGCTTGGAACACTGAATCCTTGCTCCAGTAAAAAGGATAGCTGTTCGGATGAAATTTTAAAAGCTGGTCTTCCACGGTGACCATTGAAATTTAGGCTAGCCTTGTATGCATTCTCATTAACTGCTGTATGATCTGTGCTCCTTCTTTCCAAATCTTTCATTGTCTCGTACATCCCGAGCATCGAGTTAATTATATCGTCAGGAACGTTCATATTTACAAGCATCCTATTTATTAAGTTATTTCCTATTTATTATTTATTAAGTCTAATCTTATTACTAATGAGGTTTTCCAGTGCATCTATTTTCACAATAACATCATTAATAGAAGATTTTACTGCATGAATCAACTCCGAATTGGAAGTGGTTGTATCCGACATGTTGATTCTGAAGGAGTGGTTACTAAGTTACATAGCAAAATCTTAACCACCCCCCCCTCCCCAGAGGTACGTTTGTGTTTTTGGCGGAGTTGGTACGCGGTTGAGAACTCAACATTCAAGTTGGAAAAAATCTCAACACTGAACTTCGAACTTCCACAGACAACTGACCATGTAAATATACAAATATACAGAAAAACATTAATTTGAATAGAAATGTGTTCATGCAGTTCTGGATTTGAATGTTGATCTCAGCCTAATTTATTTGAATTGCGAAGTTGAATGTTGAGCTTTGCAAAGTCAAATGTTGGTATTTCAAATAAAATGTTAACCATTGCCAAGTTGAATGTTGATTTTCCATGAAACGAATACTGATTTGCAACTTCAAAGCTTGAACTTTGCAAAGTCAAATGTTGCAATGCGAAGTTGATGTCGGAATGTAAAGTCGAATGTTGCGCTTTGAATATTGATTTTTGGCGGGGATTGTACCCCATAGTTCCCCGATGGTCGGGGGAAGCGCTCTAATTCACARCTTTGGCTCCACACCTCGGGGACTAGAGCGGGGATTGCACTTTTTGGGGGACTGGTAGTTCCTCGTGGCAAATCTTGGCGGGGGAGTTCACTTTTATTTTTTGACCTGCAGTGCAGGGCTATCACTGCATTACASATAGGAAAAAAGGGGGGTGCAGGGGATATCAAATGACTGGTGCATTAAGAATATTCAAATTTCAATACCAACACCAAAATTGTAACAGTGCAACATTGAAACTGACTACAAATTTCTTTGTTTCCTATTGTATAATCAACACTATTTAGTAGTAATTAGTACTATTTGTTTCACACTTTAAGTGCGAGCACTCTACTTTCTCCCACTCTTTAAACAACTGTAATTTTAGTAGGTAACATGTCATCAGTTAACTGTCACCCGTCCCAAGACTTTAAACCTGTCTGCCCTGACACCAACATGTTTGCAGCAATTCCTAAATCAGATCGTCAACTTAAATTACTTAATATTCATTCCTGCACACAGCACAATATTAAAATCTCAAAATATTCATAACAACAGTTTTTGGAGTAACCACATCCGCTTTTTAAGCGCCTTTTTTTGGTAGTGCAAAACTGACTTTACTGAACTTACCATTTTTGTCGGTCTTGTTAACGAAAGCCACTGAAAACTTCCAAAATTAACCAATACCAACGCAAAGATAATAATAATTTACATAAGAAGAACCGTCTATATTTCTATCTTTCATATTAAGCAGAAATACGAATGTTAACACGACATTTTTCGACTTCAGAACTAACGACCACGCTAACCACGCTGATCCCATCGAAGGAGCAGAGAATTCTGGGTCGTGTTTTGACACAGGTGCCCCAACAATCTCTTCATTTTAAAAGTAAGTAACACAGGGAGCCCAAGCAATGACTTTGAACCTATAATAGTTAAAAATAAAATTTTACTTAAAAAATAGTCTACTTTTATTTCATTCAGTGTCACAATGCATTATAAATGGGTTTTAAAAAATTTTCCCTCCCTGTATATATATAGTGACAAGGGAGGAGACTCCGCTCGAGATTCTCCTAAAAATGAGCCAAAAACGATCCAATAAAATCCTTTTTTCGCGCCGAAATTAAATCAAAACGAATATTTATCTGAGACAACATATGTAAATSAACGCTTTTTACCTTATTTCGGACGAGATGTATYGATAGAAACGCTTTTTCGGGCAAAAATATCCAAAAAAGTGCCACCAAAAATAGCCCAAACCCGTTCGCACYATCCTCATCCTGACACAGGGAGCCCAAGCAATGAATTTGAACATATAATAGTTAAAAACAAATTTGTTTCTAAAAAATAGACTACTTTTATTTTATTCATTGTCACAATGTA